TTTTTTTTAGTGTTCTGTCTGACGACAGGTACGTATGAACAGGATCCTTCCCTCCTTTTCTCGGCCTGGGACCTGTTCATATACGTTCTTGGCAGATGATCCAGCAGTGGTTTGCCATTGCCTTCTTCTGTGTGTGAATGGAGTAATTGTTGGGATGTCATGGAGGGAAAACTCCGTGTTGCCTAGACCACGGCCTTGCCCAACACAAGTTATAAATTCGGGCACCGCCGGGAATCGAACCCGAGACCCCAGGATTACAAGGCCAGCGTTATAACCGCTAGACCACCGTGGCACGATTATACTACTATTAGTGTTAATTTTTCTTACATGTTCCAGACATTTCTGTTTTCAAGGGTAAAACGTGTCGTTTGTCGATTGTGTTTTAACGTTTCGGCTAAAATTTAAATTTCCATCGTCATGGTAAATATGTGTGTGAGAGGATAAGACTAATCTAGGCTAACTTGGAAGATGGGGAAATTGAAAGATATTTTGCCTTTCTGTCTCACTTTGCCATTTATTTCCAATGCTTCGCTCCTAATCTGCGTGACTCTCCAGAGGATGGTCCTTATACTTTAATCTTACTTCCTTCTGTATTATCAGCCTCTTACACTTTCTAAATTTATTGTCTTCTCACTTTACTTCTTAACTTCATTTCGTCACCCCCTTTCTTGAACCACGCACTCAGTTCGCTTTGGATTTTATCCAATTCTTCTGTGCGCCCAATCAACTCCCACCGATCTCTTACATTCCCACAGATATTTTACACTAAACGCCAGCTTGAAATATCCATACACAATATTCTGAATTATAAGTTAATAAGAGGACTAAAACAGTGTTCCTTCAAAAATTAACTATAAATACGAGGTATATTTGTTCGACTTAAAAGCTAAAAGTAAGCTTTTCTGTATGTCTTCGCCTATTTAACGTAATAAGGTAGATGATTCATTAATATTTAACAGATACAGCAAGCATAAATGTTTTTGTAGCCGAACGAAATTGGTATATAAAATTTTTTTTATAATCAAAAATGGTGTATTATTACAACAAAAGTTTATAAGATGATATAGTTGCGTCATATTGTGAAAATATATTTAATTAATTATTCTTGTCCGTCTAATCACAATTTAAAATTTAAAATTAAGATAATTAAAATATCATATGATGTTCCTTATCGAAAACATTCGATTTACATTTAGAACATCTTTTTCCTACGACATGTTTCGGTTCTTAAATGAACCATCTTCAGGTGTATACAAATTAAAATTATATAAACTTAAAATTTAATCGTAATTTCTTATATGCAACTTTTTTTATAGTTATTTATCAGTTAATAGTGATGTTCACTTCCAGATTCCATTTTTATATATTTTAAGTTGTTTTACATATGTGCGTAAATCGAATATAATATTTTCGATAAGGAACATCACATGATATTTTAATTATCTTAAATTTTAAATTTTAAATTGTGATTAGACGGACAAGAATAATTAATTAAACAAAAGTTTAATAAAATTTCGTTCTATAGAATAGTTAAAATACATTCCATCTTGGCGTTACTAAATTATTTTGATTTTTTTACGAATATATTCACTGCCTCTTCAGAATTAAATTCTAGCCACATTCCAATAACTCGATCCATTTCGTCTGTTTTTATACCTCAGTCGCTGAGAATTATTTCGTGACATGGATTCTGCCGTTGTTGTTGTCGGGGTATGGCGAATGAGCTTCTATGGAGCTTCTAAATACTACACTTTAAACAAAAACGTAAAACTTCCTCCAACTGGAAATAATTATCTCTCTTACTGCACCTTCCAGTAATGGTTTCTACTTCCATCTCGTAGTCATTTGTGCGTATGTAATCAAAACATACATCGGATTAACATAATATTCTAAAAATGTAACAATTTTTTTTATCAAGTTGGTTGTCCCACGTCTACCAGTCCATCATTTCGAAAATATCTCTGCAATAAATAATTCCATGTAGGTCTTTTTATGTAAATGGTCGAACTATAATAAACAGGAACACGTGAGAAATTGTAATGTGTCATCGGCGAAAGAATTTAAACAGATATGCCTTGATTAGATGGATGACCGTTACGTAGCTTAACAACGTACTTTTTAAAACGTGTAAATGTTAAAGTACGTTGGCTTAACAGTGACAAATAACAAAATTCGACAGTCGCCACTTAACAATCAACTTCAGTATAATGAAGTATATTATAACAGCACGGGTCATGGATTATGTTACTTTGGAATCCCAATTCTCGTAGAATTTTGAAGTGTCATTGTTTTCATAGTATGGACGTCTATCAATAATATATGAGATATCATTTCCGGTACATTGCAGTGCTACCATCCCACGAATTCAGGTAGCGAATGATTTAGCTAACAGGGAGAGTATAAATGTTGTTAAAAGCGGTGGACCCTACATCTATTAAACAGTCGTGCAACTTTGACAAAGGTCTATAAATAACCACCCGTACAAACCTTAAAACAAATGAAATTGAATCTGTAAAGAATTTCGTGGAAATAAATTTTGTAGTTGTCTCAGATTCCATAACCTCTAAAAATGACAAAAGTTTTCAGCTGAAGAAGAAAGATATATTTATTAGTATACAGATCGATCAGACATACGACTGAAATGTGTGACGCAGAAGATTGGTTCACGTAGGTTCTGCTCATGGTGACAGTGACCAACTGCAGTACTCATTATACGGAATCGCCCAACATCCAGTTATACTATACTTTGCTTCATTTGTTCCAAATCGTAGTATGAAAATAATTCGTTTCCTTCACCCATTAAAGAAGTACTTTGAAAGCTGCCCGACGGTAGCAGCACTTGTAAAATAGAATGTCTTGCCATGTAATGTCATTGCTGATAATTGTTAGGCAACCATGCATACATCAAAGCTAGCAAGCATCAAAGTGGGTTTCGTGTTATACAGAGGTCTGTGTTGCACAATGTGTGTGCACGTATAATAATTAAAAAGTTCAAATGATGACAAAGAAAAGTATTTTAACCAATTTGTTTTCCATTAGCTTGCCGATTATAGCCCAGTTCGATTTTTCTAGTATTTGCGGAAGAGAGCTGAGGAAAACTGCGAGAACTGTAAACATAAGAATTGTTTGCGCAATGTATATAAAGTAGGAACTCAAAGGTTACACACCTGAAATGACACTATTTTCGTAGGGAATTTAAGAGAGCCCAGGATATTAGAAGAAGTAAATGTTCCTGCCATCTTACAAGTAAAGCAAGTACTACTTGTATTCAACATTCATGTAGGTTATCTATGTTTTGTACATACAGGTGACATAACTGGCGACGTTTGGCGTTTAATCGTTAGCCATGTAAAGTAAATAAGAAAATGATTGATGCTTAATGCATGTACAATGGTAAGATAAGATAAATACATGTTTTTTTGAATTCCATCACTATAGTATAGCAGTTGAAAGTTAATCGAGGCATTACGAAACAACCATAAGCTGTAAATTTGTTTGCAGGAGCATTTATGTCAGTGACTGTACGAGATTCATCTTTTTGCTTAACACAGCAGTGTGAAGACAAGAGTTTATAATGCCACTTAAATTTTGTGCCAACTTATCATTTATGTTCCAAGAGACAGCATCTCTTCTGGAACGATATCAGCTGGCGAGAGATGTAGGTTTTCGTGCTGTGGAATGTGCATTTCCGTATGTACATACAGTCGACGAAGTTGTTGCTGCTCAGAAGAAGGCAAATGTTGAACAAATCCTAATAAATGTTTTTGTAGGTAAGCATGTAGCTGTAACCTAACCTCATAATGTTTGTAAGGTGATTTGCTGTGAACGGGCGTAAATGTTAGGAAGGTTGGTCTCCCCAAAATTTGACACAGGTTCTGTAACATGTGGGTAGCACATAAAGCACCCCACCAATCAGACATAGCATTGAAGCCTGGTTATCGCATTTGGAAATTCTTTTTGGTAAATGTCAATGGAGCAGATTTCATAAGTACTCATCTTCTTTTCTTTTGTTTCACACCTTGATTACTTCCATTCTTCATTCATCACAATATTTTTAAGTATTAAATAACCCAAATGATAAACAACACCATACTGGGATTTAGTGGAATGCACTCCTGCTTCATATTTTGGAGGACCTGGATTCAGACCCAGATTGTGGGTATTCTGGCATCTTCATTGTATTTTTTTAATCACTCCCAGACAAATTCTGGAATAGCATCTTAAATTAGTTCACAAACATTTCCCTCTATATAATTTCGAAGTAATTCTTCAGTCATACTGTCTTTTGGTACTATAAACTAAGCTATTGGCAGTATTGTAATATGCGGCACAGATAAATAAATAAATAAATACTACATGATTAAATATCCTGCAATTATTTATAAATTAGCAAGATGCAAGAATAGAATAGAAACATAAAATTTGTTTACATAGTTATGACAGTAATTTACAGTAAAACATTTTCAGGTGATGTTACCAAAGGTGAGCTGGGATTTGCAGCAATTCCTGGAGCTGAACAGAAATTCAATGATAGCGTTAACTTAGCAATAAAATATGCAAAGGCTTTAAAATGTTCAAGGTATGTATTATATGTGATTGAAAAACATTAACTGTGGTCATTATTTAACAGGGTCTGAAAATTAACAGTGCGTTAATAACAGGCATTAACTTTTAGCAAATAATAAATACCATTAAAGGACAGATATCCAGCCTAGTGATGCATTAGAAATATTGGGCAGCAGATGATAATTTGCATGTTTAATACATCCCTACACATTGAATTTCGTAATGTTGATACAATTGACTGCAGTAGAACAGTGATATTGAAAGGTATTTCAAAGCACAGTGTAGAATTTTGCATGTTTTATTCAGTTTCAACCCTTTGAAGCCCAAAGCTTATCAAAATAGTATTTGTTAATTCAGTCCTTACCTCAAAGAAAACACAACACTTTACCATTACAAAGATCAACTTGTTAATGCTAATCAACGAAATAATTGTTTTTTACAATGAGAATGATATGAAACCTGTAAGTACAAAACAAAGAGTTAATAATTGTTGAAGCATCTGGTACATATAGTTACCATTGGGCTTTAAATGTTTAATAAGGTAGCATAGCATGGTGGTATGGTTCGCAGTGATTTTTGTGAGCTTTCAGTGTTTTCATGCTTTATGTAATAATTCCAGGGGAAGTGCAGACAAAAAGTGTTGACATTATTACATACAATTTTTATTTGCTTTAATTTTTCAGCATCCATGTAATGTCCGGTGCTGTCGAGAAAGTGGATGAAGAAAATGTGAAAACATATGAAAAGAACATAAAACATGCAGCATCACTGTTTGAAAAGGAAAATATTCTTGGTTTAATAGAGCCCATCAACCCTTACTCAGTTCCAAATTATTACATGAACAGTTTTCATAAAGGTATTGAAATATCCAATGAAATTAACAGGGGTGAAAGAACTTTATTGAATAATTTTTTAATATTAGCCAAACGTTTTAGCCCTAATGACGAGCAGCAGCGACATCTGAAACATGGATGAACTTCTACGAGACTACACAATGCTACAGTCCAGAATACAGCCATCTTTTTACTTATTTATAAAGTGAAGCTTTCACGGCGACCGAAGTTGATGGCAGACTCTCGGGCTACAAGCCGCGTCAGGTGGCTGAATGGTGGAGGATATGGTTTATTCACCGTTCAGCCACCTGACGCGGCTTGTAACCCGAGAGTCTTTCAACAATCTCTTTACTTACTACCGTAAGAACTTCAAATCCTACTTAATTTTAGTTGCTGTCTAGTTTAAATGGGTAACTCAGTCAGTATAGTGACTTGACTACTGACTGGATGACTGGGATTTGATCCCTGACAGAGACAGAGGATTTTTTCCTCTAGCCTCTGTGTCCAGACCAGTTCTGGGCCCACTCAGCCTCCTGTCCAATAGGAACTGTGGCTGGTAGGGGCTTGACACTGACCACCAACCCCTATCCAATGACGAGATTAAGAATGAGTAGGAGCTATAACGCCTCTCACCCCAAATGCGTACATGGTGTATAACGGGAGAGTTTTATTTGTCTATTTTTTTAAGTTAATATTTCAAGATTTTTGGATGCCCATACCTGATGATCATGATTGAAGTTAAAAGATATTTATAAATTCATACTTCATAACAACAAAGTCTGTATTAACCAGCATAAGGTTGTAAGCAGCAAATATATTTGAGATCTGATTTAGTAAATGTTAACTTTAATTTATTTAGTAAGTGTAGCCTTAAAATTTTTAGTGTCACATTGTTGCTATCTTTTAATACCCAAATAAAGTTTCATTGTATCTCATGTTGTGAATTCTAATATTGAAAAAGTAATAATATATATTTTGTGTTATTACTTTTAAAGAATGAAGGACATTAATAAGTTTATGTCAGCACAAAGTTTGAAGTAATCTGCATTGCACTGTACCACTTCCAGAGTTAACAAGACTGCCATTTGGATACATTAAATTTCCAAACTTAAAAGAATTTCGGTTTGGAGTAACAGCCACTTCATTTTTCAACAAGTTTAATATTTAGTTGTATTCATTATGTGTTTTACTTTAGAAATTTTACATATTTTGATTTGTGCACGAAAGACAACCTGAAGACACTACAAATATGTAGGTTATGTTTACTGTCTTTATGACTGTAGAAGTTAATATCAAATAAATAAATAAATATGATTAAAAATTTCTGATATTAGAACATGTTTGTATAATTTTCTTTGGAGATCAGTTTCTTTCATAAATTTTCTATAATTTTTCTTAACCTGACTAGCTCCAGGATAACTACGTGATCAACATCTTCCTCAGGCTTATATAAAGTTATCAGTAGAAGTCATGCTGCTACTGTGCCTTAAATTTAGTCTCACCAATACCTTAATAGCTTAAAATAACCCATGATTGTATTTTCAATTTCATATACAGTTATTTTGTCATTCTGAGCTACATAACCTATAAATTTAATGAATTATCATTAAATAACCCAAGAAAATGAACTGTGTGTTGAAAACCTAAACATGTTGAATTTATTCATTCATCTTGTGTCTCTTTCCAATTTTCCCCAGGTCTTGAGGTGGTGAAGAAAGTTAACAGTTCGAACTTGAAGCTCATGTTGGACATATTTCATCTGCAGCAGTTGCATGGAAATCTGACTCACAACATCAAGGAGCTGCTGCCATATGTTGGTGAGTGAGTGAGCAATTCTTATAGCATATTACGATCCAAGGCTGTATTTAGAGAGGATTTATATATGAGTTAAATTCAATGTCTGGTATAAAAAGTGAAAAATTGTTTCTTGTTTTATTGCAAAATTTACTTATCTTTGTATGTTAAAAGTACAAATATTTTATTTTTGTTTACTAACATTTTAATTACATTCATTAACCACTATGAGTCGGGGTAGCTCGATCAGTATAGTGACTGGCTAACAGACTGGACTACCAGGGTTGGGTCTCCAATGGGGTCAAAGGATATTTCCTCTAGCCTCTGCGTCGAAGCTGGCTCTGGGGCCCACCCGACCTCCTATGCAATGTGTACCAGGGTCCTTTCCTGGAGATAAAGCAAGGCCGGGCATGACGCCAACCACTCTCCCCATCTAGTGCCAAGGTTGAGAATGAGTAGGAGCTATACCTCTGCTCCCCCCAAGCACCTGCGTGGCATATAGTGGGACAGCTTTACTTTTGTTACTTTTCATTAACCACTTCCCCGATTATTTTTTTCAATATTAATCAATAAGTTATATTTTTATTTTATGTTGGAAATATACCCACAAAAATTAAATTAAATTACTAGTATTTGCTCTGATGCAAAACATTTAATTGTACTGTTCAAAATGTTGTTTATATAATTATTACCTGAGTTACCGTACGATCACTTTTCATTGTATGTAAACATTAAGTTATTCACAATCACAGCGCACATGTGTCTGCACAGGAACGCCATTGTATTTCATTCTTGTCAAGTCCTTTAAATCTTCAAGTTTCAAGATATCCATGTTCCCCTGATGATGGTTGTGGTAGGCTGAAACATGTCAGGAATTAAATAAAACAAATATTTAATATTTCTGGTTAGAGTCTAATGGTCTCTTTAGTAATATTGTGTTAAATATAATAGTATGCTACTGAACATAACACTGACAGTTGTGTAGCATCTTTTTTTTTTACCATTTCTTAAAATTATATTTTTTTAGGTCACATCCAAATAGCACAAGTGCCAGATCGTAATGAACCGAATACAAGCGGAGAAATTGACTACCGGTACGTCTTTTCTCTGCTAGAGAAGTTGGGTTATGACGGCTGGATTGGACTGGAATACAAGCCAGCAGGAAACACAGAGGAAGGGCTTAAATGGGTTCAAGAGTTCAACATGAGACTCTGAATTTGAAGCATCTACTGATCGCTTTATCCAAGTTATACAATGCATGTAATGCAAAAATCACTAACCATCTTGAAGAAATGTAGCCATTTGTATTATTTGTTAAATTTTTATCTTAAAAATCTTAGTTTTATTTAATTTCAACTGACATACTGTCTTCGGTCCACCTCAACATTCATACCTTTCTGAAGCCATAGAGGAAAATAAATCCATGGGTGTGATATCCTTTGTGACCTTGGGGGAAGTTCAATGGATTTTTATCTGCCTATTATTCTTCCTTCAACTGTTGCATTGATGTATTTGTGTGTGGAGGATGATGAGGCCCTTGGGGAAAAATTTAATTGAAATCTTCCATTGCATTCTGACCAGCTACCTTTTGTTACGTTAGCTGGATGGTTAAATGTTTATTGTCAGTTACAGCTACACAGTATGAGAAATTAAATTAATATTTGTATGGTAAATATGAGGGCAGGAGTATATGCATAGTCTGATAACACCCCAAACAACAAATTTTTGTTGTACTTCTCTTGTTCTTTGCCAAGGACACATGGTAATGAAACGCTTAAGTCATAATTCAGATACAGTTTATATATTGTTATGTCAAAACATTTATTTCCTGTAGGAACAGTTATTCAAAATAACTTGTGTAAGTAACCTTTACCTCGGACAGACGGACCTAACAGAAAGCAACAGAGTATAGGACCGAATGGAAGAGGAGAATTGAGGAGGCCATGGACCGAATATGGACCAGAGAGCCATAAAAGAAGAAGAAGAAGTAACCTTTAATACAGTCAATTTTAAAGATTACTGACATTGGTGTGTTACAATTGGGATAACTAAATTCTTGGACTATGTCCATCATCTGTGTTTTAAAGAGAATGCTACGTTTCGGAAGCTGTATCTGCTTCATCCTTAAGTTGAAAAGGAGGAGAGTTACACCTACTCAGTTGGGTGTGTTAGAAAGAGCTAACCTCAATCCCCCTTCCTATGTACAGTTGTGCAGTTACTACAAAATTTGATATTCAAGAGAAAAAATAGATAGCCTTGTAATGTCATATTTATTCAGCTTTGGAAACATGCAGTGTGTGTACATTAACCAAAACTCAAACAATTTTTTTATGTAATTCTTTTTATACACCTCAGATATGTACCACCTGTACATCTCTTTCTAGGAGTTTCATAGAGTACAATGAAAAAACGAACAGAATCATTTCCCATTTTTAATAGCCGTGCCTCAGATTTTTAAAAAAATAATTTATTTCCGAATTAAAGTAATATAAATGTCTAAAACATCGTATTTGCCTTCTGGCTTATCTTTCAATGTTTTGGAGGTTCTACAGTAAGCATAATGACGACTGAGCTACCGCCGTCAAAGTCTTGGTATTTATATACCCAGGAAAGATGGCAGCACAATAACGCAATGTGTATAACCAAAACATTCACTTATTGCTAGGTCGCTCGTTGGTGTACAGAGATTTTTATGGTGTTAATGTTAAGTAGTTTTGGTGGGAATACGTTATAGGGTTTATTTACCATACGCTGGAAGTCAAAGAAATGCAGTGTCAGTATCATGTAAAAAGGAAAAACAGGTTGTGTAAAATGACCGTTAAAGAAGGTGAAAAGTTTTGTGGTCAACACATGGTTTTTGACAGCAGTACCGATAGTAATGATAATGTAAGTTAAAATACTAATATTCGAGTTAAGTTCTTGGCGTGAAGCTTCAGCATTTACATACGTTAGAAATATTTTGTGTAGGCAATTATGGTAATCCAGAAACAATTCTATCTTCGTAATTTTTTTATGCTCTTAATTTTTTCTGGAATGCAGTTTTGATTTATTACTATCTTTCCCAGATGTTTGAACTTTGTCACATTTTTGATGATTTATTAGCAACCCTTATGTTAGAATTTTGGCCTGATAAGCGTACACACACACACATATACCATACCTAGTTTTATACATTTAGACCACTTTCTTGCTAGCATATAACATATAAAAGCATATAAAAGAAATTGTATTTTTATGATATTTATGTTTTTGTCCAATAAATCATCAGTATGGACCAGAAACAGATGTATCTGATTCACTTCCAATCATGCTTTTTTTTGTTTTTTTAGACCTTGCTAATGACATCTAAAGCAAGTTACAAAGCATTGGAGAAAAAGCATCTTTTTCTGACCATTTCGAATAACAACTGCATCAGACCAATTTTTGCCTGAATGGACCTTGCTATTCCTTTTGTTTTTTTCTAGAATTTACTATGACAAGTCATTCATACCTGGGCATGTTGGTACACTTTCCCACAAGTGCCTAATGATGCAAGGTTTTTAGAGGATGGTGCACCAGCACATATCAGAAACATCATCCATAAGCTTTTAGATAAAGCTTTCTGAACAAAAAAATTGGAGGAAACTATGACCCAGCATAGCCTTCTCCAAGGTCACCGAACCTAACACCACTGGGTTTTTTTCTGTATGGGAACATAAAGAACATCACCTTTCAAGAGAAAATTTTAGATATTCAGATACTGTGACTTTGCTTGGCATGGGCAATTACAGCAGTGACAGGTGCTATGTTCAACAACGTGGTAGGAGGTCGAGTATCACCTCGATGGCTGCTCAGCTGTGAATGGTGCTTGTATCGAAATGCAGTAGATGATGCCAACGTATGGGAGAGAAACTTGGACATTGACGCTGTTCAATAGTCAGGATATTTTGTCTTTGTAATATATATTTGTGCACATGTAATTTTTTTTTTAATTTAACGCCTTTGTACAACTCCCTATACTCTCAAACACTGTTAATTATGAAAATGGCAGTCTTCTGAGTTGTTGCAACGTGTAGTCTTGTAGAATGTTACCAACATTTCAGAGGTCCTTGTGGTTAGAGTGTCTCCTATAACTTTAACCATCTCCATGTGCACAACTTACACGTCACCCTGATGATGGAAGCAGCAAGGACCTCTGATTTGTTTTTACCAATTTGTGAAAGTGTGTTTTTGGTACTTGTGGGTTATCGAGACACATCGCTTTAAAAATAGGTTAGGTTAGGTTAGGTTAGTTGTCATTTATTGAAATAAAATATAATAACTTTCAAGTATATGTCATTTATCCACACACATTAACCTAACTTAACGTAACCTAAACTATTTTTAAAGCGATGTGTCCCAATAACCCACAAGTACCGTGTTTTTTTTAAAAACAGTTCTTCAATTTATTTTTTATTATTGTAGCGACTGAAATATAGTGATTTTAGCAGAGTATTATGAAGATATTTTTGTGTTTATTAAGTTTTTTTATTCCTGAAATTTGTGATTTTCCTTCCTGTTTGCAGTCAAAAGAAATTAAGCACACGCGAGTGGAGTGTCCTTATGACAATAAACAGTAAGTATCATTAATATGAACAGTATACTTTATTTTGTATTGCCTTCTCATACATATATCATGAATCAATGTATTGTATCCGGACTGCGGTTTTGAAAAGCAAAAGTACAGTTTTTAAATATTTATGATTTTCCTTCTTTAAAGCTTAACAATGAGCCACGGTGGTCTAGCGGTTAGAACGCTGGCCTTGTAATCCTGGGGTCTCGGGTTCGATTCCCGGCGGTGCCCGAATTTATAACTTGTGTTGGGCAAGGCCGTGGTCTAGGCAACACGGAGTTTTCCTCCGGGGGCATCCCAACAATTACTCCATTCACACACAGAAGAAGGCAATGGCAAACCACTTCTGGATCATCTGCCAAGAACGTATATGAACAGGTCCCAGTCCGAGAAAAGGACGGAAGGATCCTGTTCATATGGACCTGTCGTCAGACAGAACACTGAATAAAAAAAAAGCTTAACATGGTCACCATATAAGTATATATATCTTTGTATGCTGAGGATGCATCAATCGATGACAAGGGACCCATTAACATTATTATGTTTCTTGTATAATAGATTAAATATATCTGAAAGAACACTTTACAGTGAAATGTCCATGTTAGATTACCTTTAATCAAGAAAACCTTAAATGGATGAAAGAAAATGCCTCATTTTTTATTAAAACATTTGAAGTATGTAATATTTGCATGATATGTTTGTGTGTTACAACAAACAAAGTACAACCGTAACAAGAAAATGGATTCTTACATAACAGTTGTATTATTTCTTGAAATAATCAGCTTCTTCAGTCTCTGCAATTTTGTCTTCTTTGTCAACAGCTGCTTATTTCTTCAGTGGTCATTATTGCTGTAGTCAAAGGGTCATGATCACAGTTACTAAAGACTTTAAATTGAAGTTATGGGTTTTATGTTATCTTCTTCCAGTCTTCTTCTCCTTAATCCAAATATTCGGCCAACTGTTTATAAGTGTTAAAAAATACTACAGAGCTTACCGAAATCTCTGAAGACATTATCATGTGCTCTGCTTGCAGCACATAGTGAAATAACTGACCTATGAATCATGAAATTGTTATGTGCATTAAGCAGTTTTGTATAAACATTTAAGAAAAGAATCTTTGCTGCCTGGGTTTTAACCATCAGTAAATGTGCCCTGGTAGCAGTAATACGCATTATATGACTTGTCAGTTAATCTTTAGTATTAATTATATACATAAATTATGTCTTTCTTGGTGTAACATTAAACAGTTTTTGAACCAGCTGAGTGGTTTTACATAATAAAATCATTTAATACTATACTATAAGAAACTAATTAATAAAAACTGAAATTTCCAATAATGTACATAATCATGTAAGATTTGAGGTTTTCACAGCGGTGAGTCTGAAGATTGCTGTCTTCTGGGTTGTTACGCCGTGTAGTGTGGTAGAAGTTTATAGACGTTTCAGAGGTCATGCTGCCTCCATCACCAGGGCCTGATGACTGAGGCAGCATGACCTCTGAAACGTCTATAAACTTCTACCACACTACACGGCGTAACAACCCAGAAGACAGCAATCTTCAGACTCACCGCTGTGAAAACCTCAAATCTTACATGATTATGTACATTATTGGAAATTTCAGTTTTTATTAATTAGTTTCTTATAGTATAGTATTAAATGATTTTATTATGTAAAACCACTCAGCTGGTTCAAAAACTGTTTAATGTTACACCAAGAAAGACATAATTTATGTATATAATTAATACTAAAGATTAACTGACAAGTCATATAATGCGTATTACTGCTACCAGGGCACATTTACTGATGGTTAAAACCCAGGCAGCAAAGATTCTTTTCTTAAATGTTTATACAAAACTGCTTAATGCACATAACAATTTCATGATTCATAGGTCAGTTATTTCACTATGTGCTGCAAGCAGAGCACATGATAATGTCTTCAGAGATTTCGGTAAGCTCTGTAGTATTTTTTAACACTTATAAACAGTTGGCCGAATATTTGGATTAAGGAGAAGAAGACTGGAAGAAGATAACATAAAACCCATAACTTCAATTTAAAGTCTTTAGTAACTGTGATCATGACCCTTTGACTACAGCAATAATGACCACTGAAGAAATAAGCAGCTGTTGACAAAGAAGACAAAATTGCAGAGACTGAAGAAGCTGATTATTTCAAGAAATAATACAACTGTTATGTAAGAATCCATTTTCTTGTTACGGTTGTACTTTGTTTGTTGTAACACACAAACATATCATGCAAATATTACATACTTCAAATGTTTTAATAAAAAATGAGGCATTTTCTTTCATCCATTTAAGGTTTTCTTGATTAAAGGTAATCTAACATGGACATTTCACTGTAAAGTGTTCTTTCAGATATATTTAATCTATTATACAAGAAACATAATAATGTTAATGGGTCCGTCTATTCCAGGCAAACCCAATCAAATCTGAATGATCCTCTTTTCACCAGCGTTATTTTAAGGCAATAGCAAATTTCTTGTTAAGGTAACATTTAATCGTGTTTATTTCTCTGATCATCAAATATTTCTAATAGTCATTTGTCGTATAATTGTTTTGTTTCATATACCATACTATATATAATTTATTACAGACCGTGTACCTCCAATTGAAAGGGAGATCTTACATCATGTGGTATTATCGGAGGAGTTGAAAAATTCCAGTTATGGACCAAATAAAATGAAGCATTTGCTCCAAAACTCCTCATTATTGGGACATGCTGAAAAATCTGGTCTGCTTCATCAAAATACTGTGTTTATTGAATTTGGTGCTGGAAGGGGTATGTATGTAGAAATAGCAGTCACCTGGATATATATGTTTAGGTTGTAAATTTGGTTGTTTTTATTTTAAAACTGTCTTTGGAGACGTGTGTCTGTTATTCTTTACCAAAAGCCAAGAATCTCTAAGTGTTCTTTTCTGTTTTCCGTTCAGCTCATTTAATCTGAACCAATCAATCTAGTGTTCCAGATTTTAATCTTATGCCAACATGCTTCCTTTCAGGCCAGCTTAGTTATTATATCGCAAAGACGATGCAGGAAGACAATAGCTGCTTGTTGCTTCTGATTGATCGTGCCAGTCAGCGCCACAAATTTGATAACAAACTCAAAGATTCTTCGACACTTTGCAAACGTATTCGCGCAGACATATCAGACCTTTGTCTAGAATTTATTCCAATTTTACACCAATACAAGAGGATAGTGTCCCTTGGGAAACATCTTTGTGGATCAGCTACAGGTGAAGTATGACTACACAAGCAGAACATAAATTCTCACTGCTTTATCAGCCCGTGAGTTGGAATTACAAATCTTGTTCCATGTTTTGTTCATTTATATTGTTGTATCATTTTATTGAATTATTTCTGTCTTTCCTATTCCTGAAATGCACAATGTAGTCACTTAAACTCTTTTATAAATATCAGCCAAAGTCACCATCTATACACTTAACATCACTTCAGTTAATTCTTTATATATGGTAAGTGTGGAGAAGGCTTGGTATTTTTATCTTCTACCCCTTTGTTTATAAATGGGAATAACAATTTACGGTGCAATCTGGTTATTTATATTATATTACACCAGTTCACATATTTATAGCATTTTGTTTTAGTTCTCCATGACTTAACCTGCTACTCCATACATCTCTTCCTGGCGATGCGTCTCTATTTTGCGAACATTACTGGCTGGAATTATAATTATGCTGACACTCATTCAGTATGCCCCACTTAATGGTACCTGCACCTTGTCGTGGTGGTGGGGCTTGAGTACCTCAGTGACCCCAAGAGCTACTGGTAGGGCCTCCCTAGCCAGATTGGTCGAGGGGGAGAGGTCAGACTAAGACACGTACCCTGGTCCTCCAGGTTGGGGGTTGTTCGCAAGGCTAACAACCTTGCACCGTAAAAAGGAAGATGTTTCGAAACCTCAATCAAAGCCTCGGACAGACGGACCTAACAGAGGACCGAATGGAAGAGGAGAAATGAGGAGGCCATGGACCGAATACGGACCGGAGACCCATAGAAGAAGAAGTCATTCAGTATGACATGAGAAAACCTAGGAGAACCGATTGTAACCTCAGGGTCAGATTGATTGTTAATCCACCGACAGACATTCATTACCATTCGACTTCTTTTGATTACCGCATCACTTTATTTCTTAGGGTTTTTAAACTGATACTCTGCAGTTTTTGCCATTTGTTGGCATAGCAGTAGTGATGTATATTTCACTTTCAGACCTTGCATTACGGTGCGTGGTTAATTGTAACGAAGTGGAAGAGGGGAGAAGTGTTACCGCTGATGGAATTCTCATGGCACTGTGTTGTCATCATCGCTGTGACTGGAACTCATATACTGGCAAAGATTTCATGTTGGTATGTTCGTTATGATTATCATTAATGGAACTATGATTATTGTGGAAATGATTAATAATAAAGCATGTTGGTGTAAAGCAGAATATCTGACTCTCAATCATAATTTAATCAGATTTCCGTCCCATCTGTCCCAATGGAATATTTTCAAAATATTTGTAGTTACCAGGACAGGATAGTAATTTTTAACCTATTTTCTGAGATATCTTGAGTTTTGTGTTTTACAAAAAGAATATTAACCTAAGTTAATTCTGCTTCATATTTTTTCTTTATTCAGGTCATGATGAAAATATGTATATGAATTTCTAGGTGTCAGTAAATTACATTCTGCTGTACATTTTTAAGTTATGTGTGTATATATTTTTATGCTAGATCGCATGCAAATAGGAAGACATTTATGCTTCTGTAGCATGTCCCCTCCTAGCTGCAGTGATATTTGTGTACTGTGATTGTAAATTATTTTATTTTTTCAAACAATGGAAATTGATGTTGGTTCTTACGAGAACAGAAGCAAGATAACTTGGGATAATAATTATTATAATTATGGAAATATTTTGTATAGTACTATTAAATTTTTGGATCAAAACACATGTCTATAATTTCATTTCAGTGGGTATATTCTAAAATAAAGAATATGATTTCTTAGATAATGTTTTTGGGGAAAAAATTAATCAGGGAAGTGGTTAAATAGGCGATGGTTACAAATACTAGTGACAGTCCTTTGACATGCCTGTCTTCAGATTTGTATGGTGTTTAAACTGTATGTATTTATATCTTATGGAGCATATATTCTTTCCCTTGATATTCAGGCTCAGGGTTTCACAGCTGATGATTTTGATGTAATGAGTGGAATAACAAGTTGGGCGACTTGTGGGCCTGCATACAGTAGAGAAATGTCGATCCCTGAAGAATATGGTAGTCATGGCCACGTACAAAGGTAAGAAGATAACACAGTAAGAAAAAGAAAGAATGTTCACTTGTTAATTTATTATTTTACTGTGTAGGATTTGACGATTTCATTGCGGTAAGTCTGAAGATGGCTGTCTTCTGGGTTGTAGCGCCGTGTAGTCTGGTAGAACAGACTACATGGTGCAACAACCCAGAAGACAGCCATCTTCATAACGGATTTTGTATTCTTAACGAAAGGGAGAGTCGTAAAACTGAACCTGGACTGCTTAAAAATTTATTGACTTATGGACTTCTTTACGACACATTTCAAGACGAGACTCATCCTCCGTAGTATTTTACTGTATGGATATTTTAGTGTACTTACAACTTTAACTGTATCTATTGTAGACCTACCCACTTAATTCCAACTGATGACGAAAGAAAGATAATTGGAAGGAAAAGTAAAGCCATATTTAATTATGGACGGCAAATGTATCTTGAGAGCCATGGCTACAAGTGCAGACTGATTGAATATGTTACCGAGGAGACATCACCAGAGAATGTTTGCGTACTGGCACAGAGGGTTATTCCACATTCAACACCCCAAGTATCACTTTAAACATCATCATTTGATACGTACAAAGATATTTATGTTTGATTATAGGATTTGAGGTTTTTATGATGATTTTAACATAGAAAAAGTCAAGTAAGGTAGTTATCAGTACAACATACAACCATAATACTTCATGGGACTATAACTCGGAAAACCATTATCTACTACTGACTACTCGGCTGTCTAGGATTTGTTCTGTTGTTAAGTAACTAAATATTAATTTGTATTATTGCAATAAAATTGTTGTATAATATTTAATTTAAAATGTTATGCTTTTAATTTGAACTCTGGTGCATGGTTACAGAATGTTAAAGTTTTTTTTTTCCCTCCACAAAATATATTTGAAACATATACAGTATTTGTTCAAACATTTTGGAATGGTTTTGAAAGTTATATCTCCTTATCCATAGAGAAGCAAACATTCTGCAATGTGAACTGTAGTGCATACTATTAATAAATTCAGTAAAGTTGCAAAGTATCATTTAAGCGATTCCCTGAATCAGTGAAGTAATGATGTCCCACTATATGCCATGTAGGTGAGAAAAGATTTTAAAAGTGAAATTTACAAAACTTTTTTGTTTTGTGCGTTTTTTGGACAATTTTAAGCATTTTTTGATTTTTTGAGTATTTTCGAATTTTTCAAAATTTCTTTCAAAAATTTCCCCAACGGATGCATGGCAGAACCGGTCTCTGTTGGACTCTCATATATACTGTCTCTGACAAACGCGGTCTGTGCCTGATGCGATCTCTGCACTAACTGGTCTGTTAATGACACGGTCCCTGACGTGTCGTCTCTGCACAATAACGTGTGCAGCAGACACCTATTAAGGCGGAGACAGGGACCGACAGAGAACGAGTGTCAACGATCAAGACCGTCAGTTAGAGACCGAGTCTTGCAGAGGCCGCTTGATGCAAACACCGAGGCAGGCATCAACCGAATGAGGTAGAAGGCCTAGTCCGACAGGCTGAGGTATTCACCGAGTATGGCAGTCATCTCGTGGGGAGCTTTGAAAGTATGTTGAAATTTTTCGAAAAATCAAAAAATGCTGGAAATTGTCTGAAACGCGCACAAAACCAATTATTTTCGAAAAAATTAAAAAATTTGGAAGTTCGAATTTTTCAATTTTTTTGTTTTGTACGCTTTTTAGACAATTTCCAGCATATGTCGGTTTTGTAAAAATTTTCAAAAATTTGAATTTTTTTATATTCAACTCCAACCGTTTCGTTCCGCAACCGGTCTTTATCGTACGCTCTCGCTAACGGACGCGGTGTCTGCCGCACACAGCCTCTACAACAGTCTCTGATGGACCGTCGCTGCAAAGCTCGGCTCCTGAAGAGACCGAGTGAGGCAGAGGTGGAGTGAGGCAGACTATCCTGCAGATACCGTGTGGCAGAGACTGGGTCAAGCAGACATCGATTGTGGCAGGGAACGAGTCACGCAGTGCCCTCGGTGTCTTACCTACCTACCTGCCCTGACATCCCCGCCCTGCCCTACCCTAGCTGCCATGCCCTGCCTGCCCTGGACTTGTCTGCCATTCTTGAATTGCCTTGCCTGGCCTGCCTTGCCTTGACTTGCCTTGCTTTGCCTGCCTGACTTGCCTTCCTGCTTTGCCTGTCTACCTGCCTTGGTTGCCTGCCTGCCTTGTCTGCCTGCCTGCCCTTGCCTTGCCTGTCCTTGCCTTGCCTCACCTGGCATTACCTGACCTAGCCTTGGCTTGCCTGGCCTTGCCATGTTGCGTTACCTTGCCTGCGTTGCTTGCCTGCCTGCCTTGCCTACCTGCGTGACTTGCCTGCCTGCCCTTGCCTTTCCTGGCCTTGACTTGCCTTTCCTACCTGCCCTGCCTGCCTTGCCTACCTGCATGCCTTGCCTGCGTGTCTGCCTTCACTGCCAGCCTTGCCTGGCCTGGCTTTGCCTAGGTTGTCTTGACTTGAATGGCCGTAACTTGCTTGGCCTGCGCTTGCCTGGCCAGGCCTTGCTCTGCCTAGCCTGGACTTGTCTTGTCTGGCCTTGAATGCCTTGGCCTTACTTTGAATAGCCTGCCCTCGCCTCGCCTGGCCTTGGCTTGCCTTGCCTTGCCTTTCCTTCATGCCTACCTGCCCTGCCTGCCTTGCGTGTCTGCCTTGACTGCCAGCCTTGCCTGTCCTGGCCTGGCCTGTCCTTGCCTTGCCTGGCCTGGCTTTGCCTAGGTTGCCTTGACATGCGTGGCCATGCCTTGCCTGGCCTTGCCTCTTCTCTACTGGCCTTGCGTGCCTAGCCTTGGATGGCCTTGCCTGGGCTTGTGTGAATTGCGTGGCCTTGTCTGGCCTTGCCTTGCCGAGACTTGATTTGCCATGACTGGCCTTCTCTGGCGCTGCCCCGCTTTGCCCCTCCTTGCCTCGCTTTAACTCATTTTGCCTGGCCTTGCTTCGGCTTGCCTGGCCTTGCCTGCCTTAACTGCCTTGCTTGGCATTGCCTGGCCTTGCCTCCCCTTCCCTCGCCTTGCTTCGCCTTCCCTCCCTTCCTCTCATTGCCTCACTTTTCCTTTCCTTACCTCCCTTGCCTGCTCTGCCTGGCCTTGCCTGCTTTGCCTAGCCTTGCCTGGCCTTGATTGGCCATGCCTGGTCTTGCCTCGCTCTGCCCCGCCTTTCCAGGCCTTGCCTGAGCTTGCTGGCCTTGCCTAGCCTTAAATCGCCTTACGTCGCCGTGCCTGAACTTGCCTGGCCACGCCAAGCCTTGCCTGATCTTGCATCGCTTTGTCTCGCATTGCCTGGCCATACCTAGATTTACCTCGCCTTGATTGGCCGTGCCCGGTCTTGACTGGCCTTGCCTAGGCTTGACTGGACTTTCCTGGTCTTGCATACCTTGCCTGGACTTGTATGGTCTTGCCTGGCCCTGCCTCGCCATACCTTGACGCGCCTTATGTCGCCTTCCTGAATGTCTGGGGTTGCCTGTCCTTGATTAGCCTTGTCTGGCCTTCCCTCTCCTGGCTTCGATTTGCATCATCTGGCTTCGCCTCGCCTTGCCTTGCACCAAGTCTTGAGAAGACACTTGTCCCAAGTCTTGAGAAGTTACTTGTCCCAAGTCTTGAGAAGTCACTTGTCCCA